TACCATTTTCTTCACTTGCCACTCACAGCTCAGACAATTATAAGTCTGTTTCAAGCATTTTTGGCAAATTTAACAGGATTTCCCTTTGGACTGCATGCCAGAAGCTTAGAGTCCAACCGCCAGCCGATCTTTTAAATATCCATGGATATAAAAAAAATGAGTTTTCCTGTACTGTGAACTCTACATTGCATTTTCTTGTAGCTTCTAGGCAGGTGCTATCTTTAAAAGCAACTTAAAAAATATATGCATCCAAATTTTTTATCAAAGAATTGTGTATCTTACAGTGTGTGGTGCTGTATATCCAGTGAGCATTTGTACCTAAGTTTGAGAGGTCATTTCAACATTGGAGAGTGAGAACAGCAACACTGCCACATCTAGATAGGTGGGTGCCCTATATGTGGGAAGAGGAGCTAGATGCAGCAAAAGCCAGCACAACATGATATTTTCTTACAGTGTAGGTAATGAATGTGAAGTTTAGTATATTTGAGGAGATCCAGTGCTGGCATGTGTCAGTTATAAACACACTTGATGTTGAAATGCTTAATCTGTTTTGTTTGTTAATTTTTTTCCGCATGCCATACAGTTTTTTTTTGACTAACCTACTGAATGTACAGAAAGGTGGTTCAGTGTTCATACACACACAAAAAAAACTGTTGTTTTTACATAAAGAAATGGCAGCTGTGGTTGCCAGAACACTTATGTAAAAAAAATAACAAAAAATGTTACAGAACAACCAGTAAATTCTACATTTTAAAACTGTAATATATATATATATATATATATAAAACATCTTTCTTGATTTTAAACAACCTCCAAAAAAACAACTACAAGGAGCTTGCTGCAGTAACTCAGGTTTATCAGGAAAACGGAATGCTTACTTTTAACGGATGCTCTGAGCTGGAAGCTGTAGAACATGAGGGACATGATGAATGGAGTGATCTAAAGGAAGGGGGCACATCGTTCAGCTCACAAGTCATCTGTTTATTTCCATAAAAGACATATGTCTAATCCTTGTATCATATTCAGAGAAAAAAAGGTCCATAACCTGTGATACAAAATGTATAAAATGAAGATAAAGATATTTCCATTGTTGAATTATTCAGTATACAGTAGCTACATATACCACAAGAACATTGCTGAATTCCAGAAATGCGTGCATCCACCCATTCGGTCATTCTTCATCTATACAGTCACTCCTGAAATCCGTGCATTAATGTGCTGTAATGTGCATTAAGGTACCTGTCATGAAGAATCACCACTCTTTACCCAGTGCTGTTGCTGCATGGATTAGTCCTGCATCTCTCAGGCCAGTAGGGAGCAGGCATGAGCTGCTCTGTATAGACCAAAGCTAGTGCTTCTGTCATAAAAATGGAGTCATATCAATATAAATGTGAGATCAGATACAATAAAAGGAAGAACTATATTCATATAATGAGCTGCTGTAATATTCCTCTTATCAGTACTGCTTTCACTGGTGCTGGTACTGCAGGTTTTGCAGGTTATATGAGTGTGACAAACACCCACCACACTGCAAAATAAAAATTCTGTGGTAAATGTAAGCAGTAAATAAAATAAAGATTATTGGTGTATGTTTTGCAATAAAATCATGTTTAATTCAATGTGTCACTTGCCATTCTTTTGTAATTGTTTGAGCTTTTTTTTCTTAAACCATTTTTTTCAGTGCACCCCCAAATTTCTGCATTTGATATTTTCAACTCTATTTTCTTGATCAGAAAATCTTTTCTTAATCAGAAAATGTTATTTTACATCAAATTAAATAGGTTTTAGTGCATTTGAAAAAGCAACTTATTAAAGCCATAAATAGTTATTAATTATATAAATACAATAAATATGTATACTGTATACTATAACTGTATACTATAAATATATTAGTTTATGCAAGTGAAATTGTTTTGTATTAGGTTATTTTGTAATATTACTATAATAGTTTAATTATATAATAAATTAAATACCAATATTATAAATCAATATAAATATTAATATGTTAGTATCAAATATTTTATTATTAAATAAAGTACATTCTATTGTGTTCTAATAGGACTATATAAATGTATTTTTGTTTCGGCTGATAGAATTACAAGCGTGTCTAATGCTTTCCTGCTCGGTCGTCTTGTAGAAAGCGGTAGACGTAGCACCAGTTTCTTACTGTATGTAGTATTATTCGGGTTTTTGGACGAGCTGATGCGCGCATCACGTCTACCAATCAACACGAGGCGTTAAGACTGCGCGCTGCACTCTCATCCACTGAGAGCAGTCAATGAATATTTATGGCGAGGCTGCTCACTCTCCAGCGCTCAAAGTTAGTGGATTAGCAGTGGGAGGATGACTGGGTGATACAACATCAGCACCTCGTTTGGATTAAGATCCAGCCTTTGCGCCAATTGCCACTTGAAATCAACGGTGTGAAGGACAGCGGTGTCAAAAACTGCACTCCAGAAGCGGTATCGGGTGAAGACGTGCCCTGCACATCACTTCAGAGACGTTGCTATCTCTTTGCCCCTTTTCTTCTAAGATGACAAGACTTCCATCAGCAGCAGCATCACCCTCAGTCCAAGCGGGCTGCTCGTTTGGAAGGGCGCCCGACCCCAGCCGTTCTCATCTGCAAATTCAATCCGATCAATTGTGACAAAGGCTGTCAGCGTCGGCATAAGAAATCGATACTCGAGACGTTCTTCTGGAATTTTAACGATTCGTTTTCCACAAGTGAAGCGCGCGTGTGGCTCCTCGCACTTTCAGATGTTTGCGGTGTTGATGGTGACAGGTTATTGTTGTTGAGTGTCCATGCGAGACTTGGGGTGGAAACATGTCTGGCCACTTCTCTGAGAGGGTCGCTGCTATCAGAGATGGCATTTTGGTCCAGCACTTCGGTTTTTACTTCTAAAGTGCCCCGGAAGATCTTATTCATGTTCACCCTCTCCCTTTCTGTCACCTATCTGTTCTATAGCTTGATGAGCTGTTACAACTCCTTCCAGTTCCAGGAGAACTACGTTTATCAGGGGAGGCTCGCGACAGAGGAAACAACTTTTGTTACGCTGAGGGAAAAACTTTACTCGCCCTCTTCCCAGGTCTACTTCGACGAGGAGTTAATCGAGAGAACGGCGACAGAGCAAACTATCGCCGTCTCGAGCGTTAGAAATAGCGCGGGGATCGACGAGAGGACGTCGGGATGGGCGCGAGCTCAGGCGGCTACAACCAGCAGCAGCAGCAGCATGATGTCGCGCGCCGCCGCCGCTGCTGCTGGAGAGCACGAGCACCCGGAATTCAGCACCACGGACAGCGAGCTTCGGAGAGTGGTGAACTGCACCTCGGATTACGGGGTTAAAAAATTGCCCCAAGCCATTATAATCGGAGTGAAGAAAGGGGGGACAAGGGCTCTGCTGTTTTATGGTTTTCTTGTCACATGACAACAAAATGGCTTCCTTCATGACTGACTTTGATTTATGGGATCATTTTTTTTAATACTTTTATTATATTATTATTTTTAGTTGTTAATTTATTTGTAAATAATAGTGAAAGATTATGCCAAACTACAGATGCAAAAAGTAATAATTTAAACTGAAATTAAAAAAGCAATTTTTGAGTCATTTGATAGATCTGGGCAAAGCATATGGTCAATGAGCATCTTGGTTGAGTTCTCTTTCCTTCCTTTACTATAAAAAAAGTGCTTGCATTCAGAGATTGCAGAAAATATTTACCATTATTGTATTTTTTCAAAATGGTCTAGTAATTTGAGAAAAAAAAAAAAAACACTAGTTTAGTACAAATGTCTTATTATTTATACCGATCATCAAAGCTTTTGAAGACATAAGATGAATGTACAGCTAAATGATGGGTATATACCTCCAAGTTTAGTACAGTCGTAAAATAAGAAATAGTATACATTTTATTTGACAAAGCATCTGTTGATCAGGGCTGATCAGAAGTAAATGCTACTTCTGTAGGCCTATGTATTGCATTTGAGTATGTCTACACTTAATATAGACAATATAGCAGAGGTCTTTTTTTTTTTCCCCATTTCATAGTTGAGAGATGCTTTAGTCAGTCAATTAGTCAGTAGACTAATACATATGTGATGATTCAAAAGCAACCAAGCTCCAGGCTGCAGTGGATGCTTTTGTCCAGCTTTAACATAATTACTACAGCAGCATGACTGTTTCATTTCACGCCGAATTCACGTTCGCAATCACTGCTCAGTAGAGCCAGGTGCTGTGAATGCTCCGTTGAGCACTTTCAGCACGCCTGGGCTCCAGACTCACAGGTGTGCTCAAATCATGAGGTGCTTACTCAGGTGTATGTGCTTTCACATACACATCCTCAACATGCTTTGACTCGTCAGCCTGCGATATTTCCTAGTTTACATCTCTCCACTCTATTTACAATCAGAACCAGTGCAGGTTATTACAGTCAGGCTGTTTTTCTTTGGAGTACTATACATAGACCTAACATCATTCAGCCGAACAGTTGCCTATGGTGAGGAGAAGCTGTACAAATAGTATCTGAGGGGTAGAGAGTGAATGAGCATTAAGCCATGCTGCGGCGTGTGCTGGATCTGCTTGGATCTGCTAGCCTTGGGCTGTGACTCAGAGCTTTGAGGCCAGGCAACATCTTCCGCAATTCACTTCAGAGCGAGCAGAACTAGTAACATTCGCTCATTTGCCTGGGTGTTAATGGGAGCTGTTTCATTACAGTCGTTGTGTGGGACTCATTAGACCTGGGGATGACAAGCTTACATAAATAACACCTAAGAGTGCTTGTGTGTTTTGGAAAATCCCTTAAGCGGCCTTAAATTTGTTTCCATATGCGCTTGGAACATAACATGTAGCTTGGAGGAATATCAAATATGTAATGGCCTACCATACTCACTGAAGGAAACAACATTACATGTGCAATAACTGTCTGGCTAGATGTGCAATATGCCAAATCGCCAACTGAGGGGTTAAATGTAGCTAAACAAAAATAACAAACTGCAATTAAACTGTATTTAAAACAAAATGTTATTTGAAATGACATTAAAAGATGGACCTTGAATTTGATGACATGAAACATCACAACATACACCCAACATTTGTGTTTTAATATTGGCTTTTGAGACCACAATCTCACCAAATGCTTGCAAACTGATTTGAATTTGCAGAAGTGGCTCATTTCACACTTAGCCGTGGCTGTAAAGCTTAAACATGTGAAACGTGTAGTTCATTAATGTAATGTGAATTATTAAAGTTAATTATTCCATTTATTCACCCTCCTGTCATTTGCAAAACTGTATGACTTTCTTTATTCGGTGGAACACAAGAGAAGATATTTTGAAAACGTGAAAGTGTTTTGTTTTTGCCTATACACTGGGGAAAAAAATATCTTCTTGTATGTTCCACAGAAGAAAGTAAGTCATACAGGTTAGGAACAACATGACAGTGAGTCAGTTGTGATTTTTAGGTGGTCTGTTCCCTTTAATATGCATAAGAAGGCAACTCGGTTTACAAATATTCTGTATGCAAAGACGCAGAGACAAGCCGGTTTTACATTTTAAAGCCTTCGTGAATAAATATCCAGCAGTAAAGGCTTTTTGGACTTCATTTGCTGGGCATTTATATCAGGAGAAGTTAGGTAGTCATTTCAGTCTTGAAATATGATGGTGCTCCTCCTTTACAGCCTGATGCTATGTTTAAAAGGCTTGTCAGAGAGGAATGGATGCTCTGTTAAACTCCTGTCTGCTTTTAAAAGAAGCCTCACTTTCACTGAGTGGGTAATACGTTCCCTCTGTCGAATAATAATAGCTTGGCATCATTAGACAAATTGCGCCACTGCTGGGGTTCACTTTTAGATTAAAGGAGTGCAGGAAGGTAAAAATGAGAGTGTTAAAGCTGAAGTGTGTAATTTTTGCAGTTAAAAGACTCATATCCCAGCTTAATATGCAGAGACAACTTTTAAGTAAGCCATTTGTAGGGCAAAACATTGCTCTTTTTGAGCATCCCAGCTGCCGATTAGTGCTGGGCGATAATATCGTTTACATTTTGCAATGATACAAGAATCAGATATGCTATATAATGTTACAGTATGTGGTTATTTTGTATTGCTCAAAAAAAAAATCTAAAAGGACATTTGCAGCATTTTACAGGCTTCTCTGATCTGTTATTTATTCATTCTATTCAATAGCCCCCACACAATATTCAGAGCTGGAGATCCTTTGGCTATTTGACCTCAGGAGAGTTTTTCCATCTTTTTGTCCAGTCGCGAGCCTGTAAAAGAGGTGGCCTTTCAAGAGATAGCAAAGAATCAGCATTGCCTACACCAAGGTCTCTTCCTTTTTGTTGGAGATAAAATACATTCTGATCGGTGAGAGCTATACACTGCTGAAGCCCATGCATTGTTCTTGCCCTGTACAAGGCTACACAATGAAGCGCTCTAATTCCAGCACCTATTTATTCCCCAGTGACCCTTGTTTCCTGATAGAACTTCAGAAATGCCTCATTCCTTACAACTTTTGGTAGTTTAAAGGAATATTGAGAGTTAAAGGCAAGTTAAGCTCTATCAGCAGCATCTTGCGTGTTTTCCCCATAGACTTCCATTGTATGTGCAAAGCTGTTAGCTTATACAAACTGAGAGATGGATAGAAATTATTTTCTGTGGTCATCACTAACATGGCAAAACATACTATTGGAAGATATTTCCTTATGTTGAAATATTCCTTTAAAGGGATTGTTCACCTGAAGATGAAAACTCATTATTTATTCATCCTTGTGTTGTTCCAAACCAATGTTATTTTAGTATCAATGAGATATCGTCAAGAGTATTATTTTTATTAATATTTTAAATTTGTTTTTATTTTAATGTTGTCTGTTTTCATTTTAATTTTAGTTTAAGTTTTAGAAATGTTGCTTTGTGTTCTTGTCAATTACATTGGTTATTTTAAGATGTTTATATAGTTTTTATTGTTATTATTATTAGTTTTTTTATTACAGTTAAACTAATTGAAAATGAATTTGTTTAAAAAGAATTATAGCACAATGAAAATGAAAATTTGTTAGGATTCTAGATATAAAACAACAGATATACTGTTCAGAATTAAGTATTTGGACACTCGGGTTCAGATGTTAGTTGATCATGTCCATACTTAATGTAGCTCATCACAGTGGTTACTCTGATAGAACATCCGTGTGAAGCTGTTAAGAATTGACAGGTTCCCTGACACCTGACACCTTTCAAAATAGCTCCAAAAAGTTATTTGTGAGAAAAGCTCCAGCGCCATTTCATTGCAGATGTCACTTATTTTGATATTTTATGCAATGAAATTCAGACGCTTTTAAGTGTGGCTTATGTGTCCTAATACTTTAAGGGTCACTGGGTGAAGCAAATCATCTGCAAGTTTCTGAGGAGTATGAACAGCATGCAGCATTGATTCTTTCCTGTCAGAAGCCGAGACACGAGCCTCTGACAGAAGGAGCGAGTCGCAGACGCAGATCCACTGCTGAGCGAAGCAGGACAGAACCCAAATCCTCCGTTTATCCCTTGTTTACCATGCCTCAGCACGCCACGCTGCAGTTCAACCCGACTCTCGCCTCCTGACTGCTGGCTCGAAGCTGTGAGACGAGGTGGGCCGCCTCCCAGCTCAAGCTGGATGCCATCTCTCTCCATACAGCCTAGCCCCTGCACCACCCTGGGATGCCCCAATCTGCATGCTCCTGATAAGCTTTTGCCAAGGCGTGCAAGGACGCACCTCTGGGCACTCGGATGACAACGCGGCAGTCGTGGAATTAAACTTTTTAATTAGCAGCATGCCCCTGTGCCTGTCGAGAGCGAGTGGACTGCTGCAGTCAGGTCTGTCTCATCCCCCTATTTCCACTTAATTAAATTCACCAGCACAAGTGAGCCCAGTGACTACAGGAGCTTCTGTCCTGGCACTTCACGTTTATTGCCCTTCAAGTCATCTTTTGGCTAGGTGCGAACATTGTGCCATTCCAATGCTGAGATCCAGCCGCCGAAATTCCTGCACTGTTGATAGTTGAAAATTGCGAATGTACTTGTGCTATTACTTTGTTTTGACATTGATGATATGTAGGCATCTTCTGGGATCCAGCTTTCAGGGTTGCATGGAGAGGCACGCGCATATTGTTTGGCCCTCCGGAAACAATTCCAGACAGCAGTCATGACAGTTCAATTACATCTGGGATTTAAAGTCAAAGAGCATTAAGGTGCAAGCATTCACACGGCGCCGCAGTCTATGAGAAAGGTTCTCCGTGGCCTAAAGAATCAAGGTGAAAAGTGAGCTCATATTGCGGTACTTACTCAGAGGTCGGCCTTTCGGATTATTCGAGTCCATTTATTTTGCGGCACCACAGCTGTACATGGAATCACGTCGTTTTATCTTTGAAGGCTGAGAGAGGAAAATCCACCCGCCGTCAAGATT